GCTTTTCCTTTCCTTCTATTGCTCACTCATTTACTTCTTCCCTTACCCTCTTCCCTTTCTCTCTTCTCTTCTCTTCTCTTCTCTTCTCTTCTCTCTCATTTCCTCTCCCCTCTCCTTCAATCTCCCCTCTCCTTCCCTCTCCCCTCCTCTCCTCTGTCCCTCTTCCTCCCCTATGCGCTGCCCCCCCCCCCCCCCCGTTTCCAGTCCCTCGCCTCATTTTCCGCGCATCCTCGTCGGCGCCCGTGATCCCTCCTCCCTCGAAAGGATAAAACCCCTGATCCTACGGTCCGGTGTGTGTCGTTCCGGTCCATTAGCCGTGACTAACGACCCGCCCGATCACTGCCTGGCCATCCTCCCACGCCCGCACGCCCACATGCCCCCCGCGCCCTCACGCTCTCACACGCCCTCGGACCCTCACGCCGCGCCCTCTAGTGCCAGTCGGCCTCCATGATTCAGTGGGTCGGGCGAATTCGCGGTCGTTGTGGCGTGGCGCCCTTTAGAGTAGGGGGGGGGGGTTATGGCAGACGCGACGATGTCAATAACACAGATGAATAGACATATAAATCAGAGAGACTGTGTATTTTAACACACGTGCACTCTGGCACACACATACATATGCACGCACGCACATCCACACACACACACATCCACTTAGTAACACATCTACCCATCCACACATCCACCCATCCACCCACAATCATCCACACATCCACCCATCCACCCACAAACATCCAGCCATCCACCCACACACATCCACCCATCCACACATCCACCCACTCACTCATCCAAACAAACACACAATCCCGCGGCCGCATCCCAGCTTGACCTCCCGAGCGCTGCCGTTAAATATGCATCTAGTAACGGCGACAACAGAGGTTAAGTGATGCTCGTTTGCGATGTCATTACCTGGGACCTTTTCAGCGCGTCCTCCTCCTCCTCCCGCCCGCCGCCCACGCCCATCCGCACGCCAACGCCCACTCTCTCCCCTCCCCCTCCCCCTACTCGTATTTTCCCGATCCATCCTCATCCTGCTCTTACTCTTACTCTTGCCCTTGCTCTTGCTCTTACTCTGCTCCTACTCTTATTAGTACTCCTACTCGAAGAGTCGGCGATGGTACTGCATCAAAGAGATAGTGATACAAGTGAAGAGTGAGATGGGGAGGGAAGGGGAGAAGAAGAGGGAAATGAAGAGGAAGAGGAAGAGGAAGAGGAAGAGGAAGAGGGAAAGGGAGAGAGAGAGGGAGAGGGAGAGGGAGAGGGAGAGGGAGAGGGAGAGGGAGAAGGAGAGGGAGAGGGAGAGGGAGAGGGAGAGGGAGAGGGAGAGGAGAGAGGAGAGAGAGAGAGGGAGAGGGAGAGGGAGAGGGAGAGGGAGAGGGAGAGGGAGAGGGAAAGGGAGAGGGAGAAGGAGAGGGAGAGAGAGGGAGGGAGAGAGAGGGAGAGAGAGAGAGAGAGAGAGAGAGAGGGAGAGGGAGAGGGAGAGGGAGAGGGAGAGGGAGAGGGAGAGGGAGAGGGAGAGGGAGAGGGAGAGGGAGAGAGAGAGAGAGAGAGAGAGAGAGAGAGAGAGAGAGAGAGAGAGAGAGAGAGAGAGAGAGAGAGAGAGAGAGAGAGAGAGAGAGAGAGAGAGAGAGAGAGAGAGAGAGAAAGAATGAAGAAGGAAAATAACAAAAATCATCATTTACTTAAACCACCACTGACTATGCGCAAACGAGAATAAAAAAAGTCGCAGGCCTGTTTATAAGCGAGAGAGAAGGAGGAGAAGAAGAAGTAGAAGAAGGAGAAGAAGGAGAAGAAGGAGAAAAAGGAGAAAAAGGAGAAGAAGGAGAAGAAGGAGAAGAAGGAGAAGAAGGAGAAAAGGAGAAAAAGGAGAAAAAGGAGAAGAAGGAGAAGAAGGAGAAGAAGGAGAAGAAGGAGAAGAAGGAGAAGAAGGAGAAGAAGGTGAAGAAGGAGAAGGAGAAGAAGGAGAAGAAGGACAAGAAATATGTATGAAACCGCTTCATTTTCAGACAAAACAGTTTCATTTGGCGTTGCTAATAGATTTCACTTGTTCTTTGCAGGCGCGCGGCACAGCCCGGGTGGTGTCCGCATGTATAGCGTTGATGGTGACCTGTGTGTGGCAGCCCATGACCGCCATTGAGCTGCCCTCTGGAGACGCTACCTCCCTGCTGACCTTCCTGGCCATCCCGCGTGCTGACACAGCCCTCCTACCACACCTCCTGCCACACTCCCCGGACGATGCTGACTTCGCCTACACCTACAGCCTCCCCCCCTCTGATCTCAGCGACAGCGGAGGCTATGATGACGACAACCACAGCACGGGCCCGGAGCGGCGCAAGCGCGTGTTCCTCAGCCGCGGGTGGGGCCCCGGGGGTTACGAGGCTCCTCAGCCCCCGCAGCGGTTCGTGCGTCGCCCCCCCTTGCCCCCAACAAAGCTCCCACAAAAGCAACCCCTGGTGCAGGCGCAGAAGAGCAAAGGTGGGATTCGAATCTGTTCCAGCGAATA